ATATGTATATAGAGGTTCAAAAGAGAACTCCTGTGATTTACGAGAACGTGAGAACAACCCAATAACCTCAAACTTTTTTAATTAATAAATTAACTTATATTAAATATAAATAAATTAATAAGGACAGTAATGTAATTAAGTAATTTTTATAATTTTTATTTTATTTTAATTAATTATAATTATCCTTTTTTTTCCTGCACGTTCGTTTCCACTCTCTTCTCTTTCCTTGTGATAATCTCTTCTCTTCCCTTATGATAATTGTGTGATTGTGTAACCATAACCTATCGAAACCATGATCAATCGAGTGTAACCATAACCTATCAAAACCATGAATAATTGTTGTGATAAATGTGTGATTGTCTAACCCTAACCGATCGAAACCATGATCAAATTGAGTGCGCAAGTGATGTTATAATAGAGATATCATATGATTATCACACGCATATCACACCACATCGTTTAGTGGATTTCGTCTGTAATCGTTGTGATAAATGTATGATTGTCTAATCCTAACCTATCAAAACCATCCGGAATTGTTGTGATAAATATGTGATCGTCTAACCCTAACCGATCGAAACCATGATCAAATCGAGTGCGTTGTTATGATAGTTATATCACATGATTATCACACTCATATCACAACAAATCGTTTAGTGGATTTCACCCGTAATCGTTGTGATAAATGTGATATGTGTCCATATTACTCTTTTCAAGGATCTTTTTCAGTGATACTGATGAAATACTTATATTAATCAAAGGAGAATTACAAGTATTACAGTCAGTACATTCTAGACTAATTACATATAAGTTGTACACCAAAAGAAAATACATAGAAAAATAAGACTTACAATGAAAGATGAGATTTACAAGATAGAAAATTCTAACTAATCTAAGTCGCTGAAGTCGATGTAACAAGGTACTTCTTCTCCGAGCATTTTTCGACGTAGAAATTCTTTTCTGATCCTGCGGTTTATAATTTCACCATAAAGATCATTGTCCAACCAATATCTTAGATAATCAAGATGTTCTATAGAACAGAGAGCAAACTCAGACACTCTCTAAAAGCCGTGTTCACCTTCATAGTCAAGAAATATAAATCCAAACTCAGGCTTTAGATGCATAGTGTTGGGTATATAAGGACCCTTCGCTGGCAAAGAGAGGTTCAGCATGGAGATGTCTGGCTTCTTCGAATCCTTCAGGACTTCCTTCAGGGAGAACTTTGTTTCATGTTCGTTCCTCAAAGTTGGTCCATCGTTAGGATCTGAAGGTTTTCTTCTTCCACCTTTCTTCAATATCGACTTTGTAGGTACATCAATGAATTTGGACATCTTCTTGATCAGCTTGTTGAGGATGACTTCAATTATTGGCTTGTGCCTTGACTTTGAACGCTAAATGGCTTGGCGGATTTCCAACCATTCACTGTAGCTGTATTGTCCAAGGTAGGAAGGATACTCAGTAACAGCTTCAAGGTTGTCTTTAGAGATGAGCATGGAGATAAGAAGTCCACCATCTTTCATTCGTCCATTGATTGTGACGCTTGAGATGCGGTGAGGACTTATTCTATTATTTAAACGATTTCGCTCCATTCCCAGTCTCGGTCGTTCAACTTCATTTCCTTTTCACATTCAGCTTCTGCAATTGAAAGCAACTTAGCTTGGGCCTTGACAATGTTCACCATCTTTTTCGATGATTTCTTTGGAAGAACTTTAGTAGCAAGAGACTTGGCCAACTTGAGGCTGTCCTCAGTCTGTTGTCGTTGAACTTTGAGTTCTTTCTCAGCCTTGAGAGCTTCGAGTATTTCAGCTTCAGTAAGGAAGTCAAACTCACCACAACTAGAGGTATGAAGAGGAATTTTTACTCTAGTTTGGTCGAGTGACTCCTTAAGCTGAGTCATCT